GACAACAAAAAAAAGGCCTGTTGGGGGTTTTTCTGGGGGGTTGAGGTTTGATATTTTTAGCTGTTCTAAAGGTTTCTTCAGTTTGAGGGCAGAGAAATAAGGGTTAGTCCACCTGCACTGTGACTCTGAGCTCAGTAACCCAACAGAGTTTCTCCCAGTAGCAAAAAGGTACTTGAAACTACAAAAAAAAAAACAGCTTAATATAAGGTTTTCTATATTTTAAATGCATAAGTCAATAAACAGGTTGCTCAGCCTGCACAAACACTGGGAAGAGGATGCAGAGAAGGACAATGGAGCTGGGGAAGGGGCTGGAGAGTTAGGGCTATGGGAATGGCTGAGGGAGCTGAGGGGGCTCAGCCTGGAGAAAAGGAGGCTCAGGGGAACCTTCTGCTGTCCACAACTCCTGCCAGGAGGTGCAGCCAGGTGGGGTCAGGATCTGCTCCCAGGGAACAGCCTCAAGCTGTGCCAAGGGAGGTTCAGGTTGGCATCAGGAGGAATTTCTCCAGGGAAAGGGTTGTCAGGCATTGGAATTGCCCAGGGAGGTGGTGGAGTCACCATCCCTGGAGGTGTCCAAGGACCAACTGCTCATGGCACTCAGTGCTCTGCTCTAGCTGACAAGGTGGGGATGGTCACAGGTTGGACTCGATGGTCTCAGAGGTCTTTTCCAGCCTCAATAGCTCTGTGATTGAGGGAAGAGGATCACACAGACTGGAGCTAGTGACATTTCCATACCCAATGGTTTCCTTTGCAATCAAAGCCAACCACTTTGCTGCTGCTCTGCTGGTGGAACACAGCTTTGCTCTTGGCATCTAAAGGCTCTTAGGTAACATGTTTTCTGCCACAAGATAGAATGAATTCTTTCCAAAAAAGCTCTGCAGTTGCATTTCCAATCAGCACCTGTTGGATCACACAGCTGCTTCCCTCTCCTTCCCCTTGGCCTCCCATCAAAGCAAATCACATCCCTCTGACAGCACTTAATCTTCTCTTCCCAATCTGCAATGACAGTCACTCGTTTGCACCACACACAAGATTGCTGGGGCTCTAATTTTGTTGTCAGGAGTTGCTTTTTTTTTGGGGGGGGGGAGGAAGGATGGAAGTTAGACCTTCACCTTGGCATCAGGCAGTGCCACCATCCTACTGCAACATCTCCTGCTGACCTGGGGCTCAAAGTCTTCCCTTCCTGCAAAACTCAGCCCCAAGCCCCAAACTCACCTCTTGTGCTGCTCAGGGATTTCTTCCTTTGACCACCTCCTTGTTGCCCCCATGGAAATCTCATCCCATCACTGTTAATACAATCTTGGGCCAGCTCAAAGCTCTCTAGTGAAGCTTCCTTCCCCTTCCCTCCCCGAGCACTCAGCTAATTGAATCCAGTTCTCAGCTCTGCTCTGTCCTAATCTCATTCTCTCCACTTAAAAGCACATCTTGGAGGACTGTGCAGCTCAGGTTGTGCTAAAGGTAAATGGGGAATTTGGCAGCACTAGAGGAAAAAGCAGCCAAAGTACCATGAGGCAGCTCCTTCCCCCCTGAGTGAGCCCAGGAGCTCAGTCTGACATCACTTCTCTACCAAATGCTTCTCTTTCTTGTCACTCTCCTCTTTTATCTGGATTTCCTCATCATGGTTTGGCTGCAATTCCCTCCATGGCTTCAATTCCATCCCAAGGAAACCACTTCCCTTGGGCTCAGTTCTGGTGGAATAAACACACCTCAAAGCCCTGAAATGGTCAGAGTTAGAAATGTTCACCAGTTCAACCCATTTCCCAGCTGCTCTCTCTCTCTGGCAAGAGCCTTTCCCTCACAGCACATAAGGGAGGGTGAGTTCCATCTCTCTTTATACCTTCTTGTTTCTTGTCAGATTGCCATGACAAAGGATTCTCCCTTTCTCTCCTGCCCATTCCAATTCCCAGTTCAATCCCAAGCATCCCTCCCCTACTTCTGCCAGGAACACCTCTGTGCTCTCCTGCAGGCTGGTTAAATTTAGCCCCTCCTGCTGCACTCAAGGTTATTTTCTCCTCTGCTCTGTCTTGCTGAATACCAAGTGCATGTCAATGAGAGGCAGAGAATGGCAGGGAGCTGCTATTTATAGGACACAGATTTGTCTGTCTGACCGTGGAGAAGAACTGCAAACAAGAAGACAGAGTATAGCAGGGAGGACACAGCAGTTAGGAGCTGTTGTTTGGGGAATGACACACCTCTCCTTGCTTGGATTTCATCACATGAATAGTCAAGAGGTTTGTGAAGGTGCTGGAAGCAGCAGCAGAAAGGGTTTGCCCCAGGAGCAAACAATTCCCTTTGCTGTCAGACCCTCTGTCCTCCCCTACCTGGGACACAGGTGTCATTCTCAGAGCTGTTCCCACTGCTCCATCCCCACTCCTGCAGCAGCCAAGTCTTGGTGGGTTTCCACAAGAGCTCTGGAGGCCTCTGACCACCCAAAGGCAGCAGGAGCTCAGCAGAGGTGGCAGCAGAACCTCTGCCCATCACCTCTGCAGTGTGGGCACAGCTGCCCTGCAGGACTCCAGTTTATCCCACTTTATCCCAGTTTGGGGCTGCTAATGAGCCCTCAGGGCTCAGCCATCCCCTGACCCAGTGGTGCTGCCCAAACTCACTGGACACCAGGGACAGGATCCCCTTGGCCACTTCCTCCCAGAGCTTCTCACTCCCAGGGCAGTTTTCAGGCTCAGCAAGTAAGAGATCAAATCTGTCACCCAACTTTGGCCATAACTCACAGAATTTCCCCTGGGCTGTACCAGGTTCCACTTTAGGTTGTGCCTCTTTGCTATTTGTAGCTCCTGAGGAAATGCTGAGTTGTTCTCCCATCACAGAAGGATAAGACAAACCCACAGCTCCCTGTGCTACAGCCTCAGCCAACCTGCTCAGCACACACAGAGACTCCCAGAGAGTTTCCAACCTTGTCCAACTCTTCACCCATTCCCTGCCAGCTCTGCTCTGTCCCTCAGAGCTATGTTTTCTGTCCCTTTCCCTCCCAGCTTACACCAAGAACCAAGTGGACATTGCCACCCAGGGCTGGTTCATCGGGCTCATGTGTGCCATAGCCCTCCTGGTGCTCATCCTGCTCATCGTTTGCTTCATCAAGAGGAGCAGAGGGGGGAAATACCCAGGTAAGAGCCTTTCCTGGCCCTCCTTGGGGCTCATGGCTAAACATCTCCAGCCTGCAGGGGCTCACCAAGCTCTGTGGCTCTTGCTTGTCATTGCCAGGGGTTTGTGGCACTAATTAGTGGGAAGGTTTCAATTAATGACAAGGCTCTGTGCTAGACACTGCCATGCACTGCTCCAGCTTTACTCTGCAGAGGTTCTTGGCCTCGGCCACACAAAGCTCTCTGCAGGCTAAAACCTCATTCGTTTTTGCACAGCAAAGTTAAGGCTTAAGAAAAAAAACACCCCTTTGTAAACCCTTTGTTAGCCCTTGTAAAGCCCTTGTAAACCCTTTGCAAGCCCTTGCCAACCCTTTGCAAATCCTTATCAACTCCCTTGTTAGCCCTTTGCAAATCCTTTGTAAGACCTTTGCAAGCTCTTTTGAAGCCCTTTGCAAACCCTTTTAAAGCCCTTTGTAAGCCCTTGTAAACCTCTTGTAAGACCTTTGCAAGCCCTTTGTTAGCCCTTGTAAACCTCTTGTAAGACCTTTGCAAGCCCTTTGTTAGTCCTTGTAAACCTCTTGTAAGACCTTTGCAAACCCATTGTAAGCCCTTTGCAAACCTTTTGCAAACCCATTGTAAACCCTTTATAAACCTTTTGCAAACCCTTTTTAAGCCCTTTGTTAGCCCTTGTAAACCCCTTGTAAGACCTTTGCAAACCCATTGTAAGCCCTTTGCAAACCTTTTGCTACCCCTTTGCAAGTCTTTTGCAAACCCTTGGTAAGCCCTTTGCTAGCCCTTATAAACCCCTTGTAAGACCTTTGCAAACCCTTTTTAAACCTTCTGCAAACCCTTTGTAAGCCCTTTGCAAACCCATTGTAAACCCTTTATAAACCTTTTGCAAACCCTTTGCAAGCCCTCTGCAAACCCTTGGTAAGCCCTTTGCTAGCCCTTGTAAACCCCTTGTAAGACCTTTGCAAACCCTTTTTAAACCTTCTGCAAACCTTTTGTAAGCCCTTTGCAAACCCATTGTAAACCCTTTGCAAACCTTTTGCTTTGCAAGCCCTTTGAAAACCCTTTTTAAACCCTTTGCAAACCTTTTGCAAACCCTTTGCAAGCCCTTTGAAAACCCTTTTTAAACCCTTTGCAAACCTTTTGCAAACCCTTTGCAAGCCCTTTGAAAACCCTTTTTAAACCCTTTGCAAACCTTTTGCAAACCCTTTGCAAGCCCTTTGAAAACCCTTTTTAAACCCTTTGCAAACCTTTTGCAAACCCTTTGCAAGCCCTTTGAAAACCCTTTTTAAACCCTTTGCAAACCTTTTGCAAACCCTTTGCAAGCCCTTTGAAAACCCTTTTTAAACCCTTTGCAAGCCCTTTGAAAACCCTTTTTAAACCCCTTGTAAACCCTTTGCAAGCCCTTCCAGTACAGGTGTTTTACCTTCACCCCTCGAGGCTCTCACAGCCTCCACAGCAGCTGCTGTTGTTGCCTCCTAAGGCTTGGAGCTGCCCCTGGTTTACCAGCAGAGGTGTGAATGTGCTTGTTTGCAGTTCGAGACAACAAAGATGAGCACCTAAACCCCGAGGACAAGAACGTGGAGGATGGATCCTTCGACTACAGGTATGACTGCACCAGCATGTGTGTGCCCATCAGCCCCACTGCAGCCATCACAGCCCTCCCCGTGCTCCCCACGGTGCCTCACAGCCTGGGAACGAGTCCTGCCACCTGCCTCCTCCTGCCTCCTGCCCTCTGCAAGGCCTTGCCCAAAGGAAACACTTCCCAGGTTGTAGGATGCTGCTCAGGTCTCCTCCTTTCCTGGTAGGGAGCGGAGTTGGGACCAGAGGTCATGAAATGTTGAGTTGTTCTCTCATCACAGAAGGATAAAATAACCCCAGACCCACAGCTCCCTGTGCTACAGCCTCAGACAGCCTGCTCAGCACACACACAGACTGCCAAACAAAGAGCTGAAGAAAGTTTCCATCCTAGTGATATATTCTACTCATCACCTATTCCCTCCCAGTTCTGCTCTGACTCTCAGAGCAGCATCAGCTGCCTGGGACAGACCAGCCTAATACATAAAAGTCCCCAAACCACCCCAAAAAGCAAACTGTGAAGCAGCCTGAGGATAGTTCAAGTGTATCACTGTAGCTCAACCCCTTTCCCCCCCCCATAAGGAAGTATCCAGGGGAGAAGTGCCCAAAGTTATGCTTGGCTCAGCCCTGAAAGCACTCAGAGGAAAGATTTGGGGGTTTGCATCATTCCAACACCAAGATTCTCTGTGAGATTCCCAGGTAACCTCACCAAA